AAGTGGGTGGTAGTAGCAGGGATCTGAGAGGAGGGTGCAGGGGCTGGGCACTAGCGGGTGGATGGGGACCACAGAGGAGTTGAGAGGCAAAGGTCTTGAATCAGCCTGTAGGACCCATTAGGTTTCTTAACATCCAGAATGGGGGTGTTGAAAGGAGAGTGTGTAGGCCTAAGTTACCCCTTCCGTAATAAATCCTGGATGATGGGTTCTAATCCAAGAAGGGCTGTGGTTGTGAGTGGATATTGTGGTTGACTAATATATCTTGAAGTGTCCCATAAGACAATATGAATAGGACTGCATTTAGCCATAGAGAGTGTAGTTGTGTCCCAAACCTCAGGATTAACTGGTTTAGATAGTCGTGGGAGAGTGCATGATGGAGGTGTATCTGTCCCTAGGATCATCATGAGGAAATGAGAGGTGGGGGAAGTGGGGGGTGATATGTGAATAGTGACCTTCAATAATGAGAGTATATCCCTTCCCAGAGGGGGAATGGGGAAATGGCTCATAACGAGAAAGGAGTGTGTGAACTACAAAAGGAATCCCTGCATATAACATGATAAGGGGGATGTTTTTATAACATTTTATAACATGATAAGGGAAAATCTGTTTACCTCCTACCCCGACAATAGGAATTTTTGAGGGTGTGGTAGGACCCCAATACTCCCTCAAGTCCAAAAATGTGGTACCAGTGTCTAAGAGGAAAGTAATGAAGCGTCCATCCATTAGAAATGTGACCCTAGCCTCTTGCATCTTGATGGTAATAGTTGGGAGGGAAGGCTCAGGGCTCTGTCAATCCTCCTCTGCCAAGCCCAGGAGAGGCTGGAGTTGTGGGGCGGCTGACCAACCTCCCCTCCGGGTTGTTGGACAGTCTACCCCCCAGTGTCCCCTTTGGTGGCATTTTGGGCAGGGGGTGGAGGGTAACCTCAGCGAAGGACACTCCCTGGCCCAATGTCCCTCCTTACCACATTTGAAGCAAGTTCCAGGGGGTGTCTTATTGGGATGGTGGGAACGTTTCGCGCCAGTGAAAGAAAAAAGAGGAGAAAGAGGGTCGTTAGGCGCCATATTGGGGTTTTTCTCTGGGGTGCTGCTGCCGTTATGTTTTCCCAATAGACTTACTTAAACTAAAAAGTTTTTTCTCAGCAAGAGAACCAATAAGAGAGGTAAATAGGGAGCCTACATCCTGGGAACAAATTTTTACTCCTCACACTTCAGATAGAGCCCTAATATCCAGAGTATACAAAGAACTCAAAAAATTAAACAATAAGATAACAAATAACCCAATCAACAAATGGGCCAAGGACCTGAACAGACACTTCTTAGAGGAGGACGTACAATCAATCAACAAGTACATAAAAAAATGCTCACCATCTCTAGCAGTCAGAGAAATGTAAATCAAAACCACCCTAAGATACCATCTCACTCCAGTAAGATTGGCAGCCATTATGAAGTCAAACAACAACAAGTGTTGGCGAGGATGTGGGGAAAAGGGTACACTTGTACATTGCTGGTGGGACTGCAAATTGGTGCAGCCAATTTGGAAAGCAGTATGGAGATTTCTTGGAAAGCTGGGAATGGAACCACCATTTGACCCAGCTATTCCTCTTCTTGGACTATTCCCTAAGGACCTTAAAAGAACGTACTGTAGGGATACTGCTAAATCGATGTTCATAGCAGCACAATTCACAATAGCTAGACTGGAACCAACCTAGATGCCCTTCAATAGATGAATGGATAAAAAAAATGTGGCATTTATACACAATGGAGTACTACTCAGCACTAAAAAATGACAAAATCATGGCATTTGCAAGGAAATGAATGGCACTAGAGCAAATTATGCTAAGTGAAGCTAGCCAATCCCTAAAAAACAAATGCCATCTTTGATATAAGGAAAGCAACTAAGAACAGAGCAGGGAGGAAGAGCATGAGAAGAAGATTAACATTAAATAGGGACGAGAGGTGGGAGGGAAGGGGAGAGAGAAGGGAAATTGCATGGAAATGGAAGGAGACCCTCATCGGTATACAAAATTACATATAAGAGGAGGTGAAGGGAAAGGGGGGGAAAACAAGGGAGAGAAATGAAATACAGTAGATGGGGTAGAGAGAGAAGATGGGAGGGGAGGGGAGGGGAGTGGGGATAGTAGAGGATAGGAAAGACAGCAGAATACAACAGACACTAGTATGGCAGTATGTAAAAATGTGGATGTGTAACTGATGTGATTCTGCAATCTGTATACGGGGGAAAATGGGAGTTCATAACCCACTTGAATCAAATGTATGAAATATGATATGTCAAGAGCTATGTAATGTTTTGAACAACTAATAAAAAATAGTTTAATGCAGTGAATTTGATTTTTATAAATTCTTATATTTTAGTTTGTGTGGATTATTTTTTAATTAAAGAGGCTGATAATATCATTATGTCTTGATGATCTTTTCCCAAGTTATTCTTGAGTTGCTGCAGCCTCTTAATCTTTTGCTAGCTCTGTCACAGCTATTAGCAATGAGAGTTCAGTCTGAAGACAAACTCCCAAGCAGAGTGGAGTATGGTAGTGACACCTAGTGTTTATTCTCTGCTTGTCTTTTTCTTCCTTACTTAGTTCTATACTCTTCTACCTAAGAATGGAAGCTAGCATTTCTTTTTCTTTTTTTTTTATCCTTTCCACATTGTTTTATTGGTGCATGTTTATAGTTGTGCATACTGATGGGATTTGTTGTTACATATTCATACATGCATACAATATAACAATATAATTTGGCCAGTATCCTCCCTTGTTCTTTCCCCTTCCTTCCACAGCATCCTCTTCCATCCCTTTTATGTACTGATCTCCCTTTGATTTTCATTAGATCCCTGCTCCCCCACCTTTCTTTTCCTTTTTCCTCTCAACTTTCCATATATGAGAGAAAACATGACCCTTGACCTTCTGAGTTTGGCTTATTTTACTTAACATAATGGTTCTAGTTCCATCCATTTTCTTGCGAATGTCATAATTTCATTTTTCTTTATGGATGAATTATGTATTTATACCACACATTTTCTTTATCCATGCATCTGTTGATGGACACCTAGGCTGGTTCCATAGTTTGGCTATTGTGTATTTTGCTGTTATAAACATGAGTATACATTATCACTGTAGTATGATCACTTTAATTCTTAAGGGTAAATACTGAGGAGGGGTGTAGCTGGGTCATATGGTGGTTCCATGCCTAGTTTTTTGAGGAACCTCCATCCTGATTTCCATAGTGATTCTACTAATTTATAATCCCACCAACAGTGTAAAAGTATTCTTTTTTATCCACATCCTCTCCAGCATTTATTATTGTTTGTATTCTTGATGTTTGACATTCTGACTGGTGTAGTTTTGATTTGCATTTCCCCAATTGCTAATGATGTTGAATATTTTTTTCATATATTTCTTGACCATTTGTATTCCTTTTTTTGAGTCATTTCTTTTAATTCATTTTCCATTCATTAATTGGGTTATTTGGGGGTTTTTTGGTGAAGTTTTTGAGATCTTTAAACAGTGTAAATACTAATCCTCTATTAGAAGAATAGCTAGCAGAGATTTTCTTCCCATTTTGTAGGTTCTCACTTCATATTTTTAATTGTTTCCTTTTCTGTGAAGGGAAACAAACATTTTTTGATCCAATTATCTTGAACTAAATGTTTTTTTTAGGGGCATTCACATCAATGATTTTATATCAGAACATTAAACTGTTCTTCTACTTCCCATTTAGCCTTGAATAACTTATCTGTGCCTCAGTTGTTCTGTTTTAAAGGTGGGGATGATCATATTTATTCCATAAAATTATTCTGAGGATTATATGAGAATAAGAAGCACTGTATTCAAGATTGCTAAATATAATGCCTTGCAAATCTTAAGTCACTCATCCTGCTTGCATGCATTCTTTTTCTCTATCTTCCTCTTGCACTTTGTGTATTTTGCATCACTGGAATTCTGTTTGTAGAATTTTTCCATCAATAAGTACAAAAGGATATAGAATAAGTTAATGAAAGTAAAGAGGAAATAATGTATGTGAATGTGTTTATTGGTAGGTATAGTTGTTATTTTGAGGAAATAAATAGAAAAGGGATCAGGCCCATCTTATATATAATTTGTATTATCTGCATTTTCATGCAGAATTCTATCCAACTTCTCATTTTTTCCTACCTTCTGCCAAAGTTATACTTTGTTGTTTGTGGTGAAATTTTGTTTTATGTTCTTATACTTAAAATTTATAAAGAACTTCCAACAGAAAAAGTAGAATATTCAAAGAAATGGGCACAAACATATAAGGCACTAGAGTCACATTTTAAAGCTGCAGTCAGGAGGAAAAAAGAATTTGGATTGATTATTATTATTATTTTTTTAAACCACATGGAACAAAATCTGTGTTTGACCTAGGGAATAGTTCTATTGGTAAAGCCAATTAAATACTTAAACAGAATCCCCTGCAGAAATTAAGCTACACCTTAGGGGGCAGCATTGAGAAATGTAAAAGCAAAGGTTTAGAATTTGGGTTGGAGCCCCCATGCTGGATCTGAGTCTTTGGAGTTAAGACCCAGGATTGTTTTCCTCATTTGTAAAATAAGGGCAGTACCATATGAAGCATAAGGTCATAATTGAGAATCAAAGAAGAAAATATTTGGAAAGTTCTTAGAGAATATTTGCTTGATTTGTTAACTACCTCACTTCCTTCCAAGGGAAGTTTTAGAAATTTTATTCTTATAAATATTTAAATAAAAGGCAAATTCTTCTAAAACAGACATCAGAGATTGTCCATATTTAATACAGAAATCCTTTTGCAATTTATTTTTTTAAAAATTTCACTTTTATATGATTTAAGTACTCTCAAGCTATTTATTTACAATCTCAGAGATCAAATTTTAATCTTCTGGCTTCTAGACTAGAACTTCCTCCACCATCTGGTACCATACAATTCCAGTTTTTATATTTCTCTATAATTATTTATATAATAAAATATTTTAATATTCTCCACAGGTTACTAAACAGATGAAAACTTGTGCCATGGAATTGATCAGCTCTCTTGAAAATATCTTTTCTGAATGGAAAATAGTAAGAAAAGCTTTAAATTATCTTCATTTCATTTTAGTATACTTAATCATTTTTCTTTGCTCCACTGTAGATTATTTCCTTAGCCAAAGATAGCTTCTTTGTACATGTTTAATTGAAACATGTAGTTCTCTTGGATATAATAATTTGCTAGTTTTAGAAATAGATTTCATAGATATTAATATTAGTTTATCTGTTTCTTAACAGCTACTATCAGCTTTTGCTTGGATAGTCATTACAGGCTAAAAATTGCTTAATAAAAGTCAATGTGCTCAAAGATTTAAAAATGCACGTGAGGTGGACAGATTATTTTATGCTCATGTCATAGTTAAAACAGAAAAATAGAAACTAACTATGTAATCAGTATATTAAAAAGGAGAACAATTTTTATGCCATGAAATTTTTTATTTCAAGAAAACAAATGGGATATAAAGTCAAAAAGTTGAGCCTTTTTTTTTTTTTTAAATCTACCAGAGTTTTCAATCACTAAGCCACATCCCCAGCCCTATTTTGTATTTTATTTAGACACAGGGTGTCACTGAGTTGCTTAGCACCTTGCTTTTGATGAGGCTGGCTTTGAACTCATGATCCTCTTGCCTCAGCCTTCTGACTGTGGGGTAAAGTTGAATTCTTAAAAGTTAAATAAGTTTGTCTTTTATGAATTCAATAACAACATGTTATGAATTCAATCACATCCGAGTTTTCACATGAATGGAACTGGCATTTTGTTCCATTCATGCATAACTGGATGATGGGATTTTGCTTTAAAATTAATTGAAAAGACTTATTTCTTTTGAAAAATAGTAATACTGCAGTTTGGTTTTGCTTATAGAAATGGAGTTAAGCATTGGTAAGAAAATTACATTGTCTTTCTTAATAATATTCTGAAAATACCTCCATCTAACCTGTTACATAAAACTATTTATTTATACAGAAAATTTTCAAAACTCAAGTACAAGAAGATTCTGGATACCAGGATTATAAAAAGATGTCTAATTTTGTCCCAGAATTCTTGAAGTTAAAACATTGCTTAGACAAAACCATTCAAGTTATCATTTCTGCCTTGAGAGGTAAATACTCTAAGTAGAATTTGTAATTAGAATAATATATATATTTATATATAATATGTATTTTTTTAAATTTTTAATTAATTAATTAATTTTGGTACCAGGAATTGAACTCAGGGACACTTGCTCACTGAGCCATATACCCAGCCCTATTTTGTATTTTATATAGAGACAGGGTCTCAGTGAGTTGCTTAGCGCCTCGCCATTGCTGAGGCTGACTTTGAACTCGTGATTCTCCTGACTCAGCTTCCTGAGCTGCTGGGATTACAGGGGTGCACCACCGCTCGACTAGACTAATAATATATTTTAAGGACTCTCAAATGTCTTGCCTTTTCTTTCTCAGCCTAACTCACTAACTAAAGCCCACCTAGTGCTATTGCATTGATATTAGTGACCAGCACAGGAACGTCTGTAATCAAGTGGGGACCTAATATACATGTGGGCACTTCTGCCTACATAATTGCTTATGGAGCAGATGAGTACTTTAGTGGGAATCAAAGTGAATACTTTGTAATTGTCTTGATAAGAGTCACTTTGCCTTTAGGTGTATTTGGAGTCATCTAATAGTAATAAACACTTGACAAAAGCTGAAAAGGGTAGTAACTTTTTCTTCTTCCTTTGCATAGAATGCCATAATGATGTACATCTTCTCAAGAATTGTATTGAAACTATTTGCAACTTGGCCAGTGATGTTCACAATGACTTCAGGGACCTCTCCACTTCAGTTGACAGCTGTGAGAAGAAAATACAAGCTAATCACAGCAAAATAGAATCTCTAGCTAAGTCACTTCTCTTATGTTTTGAATCTGCAAAAAGACCTGATTTGTTGAGACCCCAAGAATCTTGTAATCAAGATACTAGAGAAGAAGAATCCAAATCAAGCTGCAGTAGGAATAAAAGTGTACCAAAGCGTGTTTATGAACTGCAGGACAATATGCCCCCAGCAGTCAGCTCAGAAGGGTGCATGCCCAATAGGATTCAGTGGGTGTGAATGCTAGTGCATAGGCACTTGGTGATCATCCATGAAAAAGAAACTTGGTAAGCAATTTTCCTTATGAAGGAGAATGTAAAAAGAAATCAGTGTATTTATTTCAAAGAAGTCCAGCCTGTCAATGGCCTTACACTGGGTGTAAACAAGATAAGTATTATGGAATGGTTTTAAAATGCTAGAATGTAAACTCAGAATTTTCTCAGCTGACAGTTTTAAACAAGTGTTTACTATATTGGAACATTTAGCCAGGAGAATGAAATTAAGAATTTAGGACTAAGTGAATGGTTGTGTCTCTAGTTTTTCAATTGTCTTGAATTTTAAATGTTTAACACTGATATGCCATCTCTTGTTGGTTCATTACTCTGCTTGTAGATGGTTATTTTTTCATAAATGGTGGAAATGTGAATAATCAGTATACCTTTGGGCCTGTGCATTCTCTTCTCTGCAAATAGCTAGGATGAGGTTTATGGTGAAATTGCCAATACAACTTAGACTAGGCAGCTTATTTATATTTTTAAATCTAAAACTTTTCTGAAGGGTTGACTGGTTTCCCATTTTGAATAGTATACATGTTCAAGATATAATTTCTTGTTTCTTTACAAATTATAAATAACTACCTAAGAATAGTATGATTATATATTAATAATATGACTTACTGGCATAATAATTTACTATGTTACCTATGTTTCAGAAATTAATGAAATTTTTCAGAATCACACTTGGGAGATCAGAGGCTGGTTCTTTTCTTGACAGTGCTTGCTTTGCTAAAGATGTAATGAAAGGGTTTGTATATGATTTGATGGAGATTAAAGATCCTAATTATAAGCTGGGTGTGGTGGCACAGGCCTGTAATCCCAGCCACTTGTGATCTTCCTGCCTCAGCCTCCCAAGTTCCAGGCCAGCCTCAGCAACTTAGCAAGACCATGTCTCAAAATTAGAAAAATAAAATAAAAAGGTCTGGGGGTGTGGGTTAGTGAGCACCCCTGGGCTCAATCCCCAGCACTGTACACACTCACACACACACACACACACACACACACACAATCCTTATTATATTTCACAGCTTTAAAAGTCATTTATCTATGATCAAGTAATAAATATAATATTCTACTTGTAGGATCTTACATGATGGAAATAGTCTTACATTTTTTACCTCAAAATGTGTGTGATTTGAAAAGATGCTTGGTAACTCTGCTTGAATGATGTTATCATTTTCCTGAGAATAATTTTTTCAGACAAAGATACCACCTGCACAAAGGGTGTAACTAGTTGAAACTCTTAGTTTCTTGAACAGATCTCATGATTTCCATGTTGGAGAGATTGCAGATGGATTCTGGTCATGGTAGAACAGTATTAATGAAGCAAGTGTGGTCTTTTCAGATGTTTTAAAATGGTTCAGTGTAGTAAATTTGTTTCATTTTCTTTTATTTTTGAGCTTATATTCTTTGTGAAGTTCTATATTTTTGTCAGTGCTCTGGCAAGTAGCACTTTTACTATCAAGTTTGATGGAGTATAGATGTACATATAATGATTTTTCCTGAAGCTTGTACTTCCTTTCAAAACTTCCCAAAGTATCAGAATGGTAGTTTTCATCTTGTAGTTTGATATCAATCTTTAGTTTCTGCTTTCAAAACTCATGATTTCATGGCCAAAAACATTTTAGTGTCTTTGTAAAATATTGTATATATATATATATTTATGCTAAATAACTTGTTATACTATATTTGAGGGAATGTTGAAAACATATGGGCTATTAAAATCATATACTCTGAAAAGACATGTTATAAAGAGAATGCCTTTAATCTTGTCAGCTTCATAATTGTCTCTTGGTCTAAGATTTTTTATTTTGTTTATTTTTTAAAAAATTTACATTAACTCCTGATTCAAAAGTGCTATAATAGCTTTACATTGATTTGCAATACTAAAGATAGCTATTATCAAATGAATTGGAAAGAAGCACTAAATAAATATGACAGCTACTTAGTTTTTTCTTTCCTCCTTCCCTCCCTTCCTTTCTTATAGTCTTGGAGGTTGACCCCAGGGCCTTCCACATCCTAAGCATGTGCTGTACAACTGAACTACAACCCAGCCCCCTACTTAGTTTTTCTTTAACACTGTTGTGCCTGTCTTTAGTTGGTTGTAGATTTATTTCCATGTGCTGTAGTAGAAAGAGCATAAAGTGTGGAGTTGGACATATTTTTCACACATTTGGAGTGTGAATCTCAGGCTGCTAAGTAATTTACATAACCTTAGACAGTTATTGTCTTCATGCTCCTTTTCTCATCTGCAAGAAGAAAGGTCCCACCTCATGAACTATTTGTGAGCATTGAATGAGAAAAACGTAGGAATAACTCCTGGAGGGTAATTGACTGCTGGTAAGTATGGCTATCCATTCTTTCTTCCATTACTAAACTTCAGAATCCTTATTAAGTGTAAGAGACCACACTTGTACCAATGTACAAAGTTTTATTGCAATCTTTTAAACATGGTGTATTTGAAAATATATCTACCAACATTTTATACCATGATAATAAACTGATGTAAAGATAAATGAATGATATTTTTCTGCTCTTAAGATATAGTGTGATGTGTGTCTGAATTTTTTAGCAAAAAAAAATTGTGTTTTTTTAATATTTATTTTTCTTAGTTGTAGTTGGCCATAATATCTTTATTTATTTTTATGTGGTGCTGAGCATCGAACCCAGAGCCTCGCACATGTTAGGCGAGTGCTCTACAGCTGAGCTACAATCCCAGCCCCAGCAAAAAAATTGTTTTGTCCTGTTAGCTGACTGGAATACTTGAAATTGCCAAACCTGACTATATTCCAATTAACATTTCAAGTTGTTGCCTACATACGGAAAATAAGAGTTCACTTTTCACAGAGATGAGGAAAAGGTGTGGGTATCAATAATTCAGTTCAGTTCAAAGAAAGCGGATTTGCCCATCTTTCTGTGCATGATTCATCAGGAAAGTCTGTGCTCTGGGTCTTGCAAGTTATGATCATTGCACGATATAATCAATGCTGAGTTTTTTCAACTTCCTTTGACCAATATGTATGAAATTCTTAGATGTAGAGTGTACCTCTTTGGTTAATTTTAATATCGTTTGGTAGCTGGGTTTATTCACTCATTTCAACAATTATTTATTTCAACAGTTATTTAAGGCTTGGTACATTTTTGGTGTTAAGTCACAGAAACTTGAAAAAGATTAGATGGCCATATGTCTTGGACATCTGAGATACCCAATTCGTTGGATCCCCAGTTTTTTACAATATTATACTTTCTAATTCAGAAGACCTCTAGAAACACTGAGCACAGGGGAAACACCAGAACTGTGCTGATTTACTCAAGTCAATTCAGGGGCACACTGTTTTGATTAAGCAGATGGCTCCTGGAGACTATGCACATTTCCTTTTGCAGAATGGCCCTGAGCCCAGAGGATCACAGATTCTAATTCTGAATCTGCCATGTTTCAGACAGATTTCTAAGATGGAAAAACCTTTTAGGCAACTCATGACTTCTGCAAGTGACAGCCTCCTGGATCATCCTGAAATGTCCATGAAGCATTGTTTCCTCTTCTTAGGAGCCCTGGGACATATCAGCCATATGAACAGCATTTACCTTCTGGCCATGTGTCCTCCCTAACAAAAATAATCATAGCTAATATTTCCTATGGGCTTATTCTGTAACTTTGTTGAGGATTTACACTGGATTCAGTGTTTTCTAAACATGATCTCATTTGATTTTCACAATATGTTCACATTTGGTACCCTTGTTCATATAAGGTACCATTATTTCCACCTTTTGACAGATTAACAAAATTAAGGGTGAAAGACATTAAGTAACTAGCACAAGATCACACAGCTAGAGGAGGCACAGGGATTCTGGTTTGTTGAATACCAAAACCTGTAACCTTCCTGCTGTCACCATTAGTGTTTATGTTCAGTTCTGGCTCCTGGTCCTCAATGGTATCTCAATTACTTTCATTTGATTGATAGGTTGATTAATTGACAGAGTCTTGTTATGTAGTTTAGGCTGGCCTCAAACTCCTGGGCCCAAGTGATCTTCCTGCTTCAGCCTCTGGACTAGCAGCAACTGTAGACATGTGCCACTGTGCCTGGCTGAATTTTAGAAGGAAGAGTATCATTTTGCAAAATCCTCAGAACAACATAAGATTCTAGTATGAAAAATTTTGCCTATGTAGAGACTGTCCCTTTCTCATTTCCCTATACTTTTCATATCCTTCCTAACCTCTTTGGACAACACATCCCCTGGTTTATCCTAAGGTTAAGGGGTAAAGAAATGGGAAGGATGTGTCCCCATTGCGAGTCCACATCAGCCTAGATTATGTGACTAGAAACACAGCAAAAGCTTAATTACTTGGGTAACATGTATACAGTTTAGAACCAGCTGAAGTAAATTAAAATGTGTTGGACATTAAGGAAAATTTATAGAAGAGCAGCCCAAGGTGGGAGTCATTGGCAGAATGATGCTTCAAGAGGGTCTTCTCAGCTGGAGTGAATAATCTCGGGGTCTTCTGATTCCTGTTGGTCTTCCTGCAGTGCTAAATGCTTAATTGTCCTGCCTCTTCCTCTCCATAGTTTGTCCCTCTCTTGTTTCTTAAATGCTGTTCTACTCCCTTCCTACCCAACTGGTCCTGTCTCTGTGGCTCTTGCAGTACCCAAGGTGTGTGGCTTGGACTCTCGCTGTTCTTTACCCACACATTATCTTGGGATCCCCAGCACTTTCCTGTCTGGGGAGTACACAAGCCTCAGCCCCACGGGCTCCTTCTCCAGTTCTCCCCTTCATCTGCCTCGTCAGACACATTTTTCTTTCCCAACTGCTGCGTGTATCACTCTCTTGCACAGTCCTCGTCATCGCTCCGTCTCCTTTATGGTTCCCACTATCCGACTGGGTGGCTCTGTTGACCCTCCCTCCGTGAAGTTTCTTACTTCTCTATTATAGTTGAGGTGTTGAATGTTCCCCAAAGGTCCATGTCTGAAAGGCTTGGCCCCAGGATGGCACTAGTGGGAAGTGGGGCCCAGTAGAAGGTCTTTAGGTCATTGAGGGTATGCTCTTGACAGGACTTGTGGAACCTGGTCTTTTTCTTTCCATTCCAGTTCAAGATGACTCCTTGCTCCCACATGATATGCCAACATCCACTTACCAGAGGCCAAACCAACAGGGCCACCTGCTTTTGGATTTTGAACTCCAATACTTTGAATTAAATAAATTAAATAAACCTCTCTTTACTTTACAAGTAACCTTTGTCTTTACAAGTAACAGAAAGCTGACTAGCACATACCCCTTTCTTTCTATTTTTTTTCCAAGAGACAAAATGTAATATATGCACACAGTTTTATATGTAATGCAGCATCACACCACGTAGGGCATTTACTCTTATTTTATACATTCA